AGCAACTAATGTTTTGACATTTGTCTTCATTATTATCAATGAACAGAGGCGATTGAGCCACCAGCATGCTCCATTAACCTCCTTCATTGCACAGTTGCACAGTTGAAATCACACATTAGGGTGGATCCAACATGAAATGACAAGTTACGAGGCTTCGGATGCACCAGCTGATTATTTAGGAGGTGGAGGGTGAGAGACTTGGTTGAAGGGATGGCGGGGTGGAGCCGAAGCAGACGGGGGAGTTAGGGAATTGGTGGCATTAAAGTCGGGGAAGCTTAGAGGCACAGAGCAGCACAGCACACCTTAAGAAGAAAGCTCATTTCAATCGGTATAATTAGCCTGTGGTAATGAAATAAGTCAGAGGCAGTGCCACCTTCACTTAAGAGAAAATCGATCTGCGTTTGAGGGAGTTTATTAAAGCTTAGGAATAATGGGGTGATAGGATAGAAGGTACAGAAGACTGGAGGACGGGGGAAGGGGTTGAGCCCAGAACAGTTAATTGTGTAGAAGGAGGTGGGAGCACTGGGGACGAAGCATGACAAGAAGGTCTGACATCACCTGGAGTTTGTCAAAGCGGCGGTGATTTATGGTTCTGCTATCCCAGAACGGAAAGCCTGGGGGTGCTGCAGCTGTAACGCAACAGAACACCTACAGCTTTCTACTAAAACCACTGCACCGACTTTTGCATCACTGCAAAAACAAAAACAAAAACCAACCCAATAAAAACCTGAGATTTAAGATGCTCATTAATTGACAAGATGATTGATGTCACGCACGCAGAACTCTGAGAGACTTCGTCCTCAGTTTGGTGAAGAAATCCGTCCTAGTCAAATGAGCTGGTGAGGAGATAATTCCTGACGGACAACTGTCCTCAACTTCCCCAAATGCATACCGGTTGCTAAAGGTGCTGCTTGCTCATTTATCCAGCCGTCTGGCCAACTCACCTGGAGTGATGGGGGAGACGTCAAGAAGGCAGGCTGCTATTTCACGGCCTGTTAAGTGCTAATGCCGCAACATGCCCTGTGCTCCAATTTTAGGGAACAGGGAGCACTACCACCCAAATCAAGGTTCTTTCTGTCTGGACTGTGGACGGCAGTGAGGGGGGGGTGAGGGAAGTGAGGGGCGAATGAAAGGGAAAGGACAGGTGGGAGTGGAGTAGAACAATGAACAATCTATTTAAAGAATTAAAAGACCACAGAATGAAAGTCACAAAGGGAGGAAGTGAAAAGATGGGGGGAAAAAAAGGGAAAAGAAAAAGAGAGAAAGACAGTGGAGCTGTGGTTTACATGGCCTGCTGAGCCAGCACTGCAGAGCAGACAGGACACCAGCAGTACACGCTGACATCTACTACTGCCACGCACGGGTGCATCCCGTATGCCCCAGAAGGCCTCTCGCTCACAGACTCACCCCCTCCCCCTTTGCCAGAGCCAGTGAACATCACTAGCCTGTAACTTCCCCAACATTTGTCCTCGCTACACTAAACCTAGAACCATGTGATAATCAAAGAACCTCCATTAAGCTCTAGACGATGGAGCCGCTGCAGAACAGATGAGATGTTCTAGGTATGGCACAATACTTATGTGAAAGTATCACATCAATTATGTATTTGAACGGATCTTTCTCCTCTCTGTCTAAACAGACGGGTAAGCGGAAAATAACTGCTGCTTTCCTCTAATGTGGCCCTGTTCTTTCACTGAACCAGGGGCAGAAGTCAAGTCATTTGTATGTGCTTACGGTAAGCATGACGGTGCACGACGGGACAGGTCTCTCATCATGGTCTGGTTACAGCAGTTATGGATTAGCTCTGTGTCAGTCCTGAGAAGTCGGATCTGTAAAAACGTCTACAGAACCTAGTGGTCAAAGTCATACTTTTAAATTAGTTTTTAATTTAAATTATTGGATTTTAAATTTTACATTACTATTATTTGTAAATTCGTTTTTAATTTAAATTATTCTATTTTAAATTTTACATTACTTGTGAATTGTGAACTTTCTCCTACTGGTCTATAGTGGGCAGGTTATATAGTTTGTGTCTATCAGGAATGTCGTTGCTGCACTTTATGTAAATGGCTATATAGTTTGTGTCTATCAGGAACGTCGATGTAAAAATTCTTTGATGCAAAACCTTAAACACAATCATGTTCTTTGTGAAGCTACAACTGTTCAGCAAACTCTCTGGTGCGCTAACATCACTCAAAGGATGGCTAACTTCTTTGCAGCTAAAAAGCTTAGTTGCATTACTGCCACCTAGGGGTAAGCCTCCAAAATAGCTAGCTAAAATAGTTGGCATTACAACATAACAAGGATTAGCAGGGTTTGTAGCTAGGCCTAACAAGTATCCTGGGTAGTTACGTCGCAGACATTTTGGTCTGTGCACAAACTCATTTTTTAAAAATATGCTGAGTAACATCGGAGAAACAACGACGATTATAATTACTTTTCCCCTCACTAAGACCAAATGTAAACAAAGTCACGTGACCAGGTTCTGGCCACAGCTCCTTCACTGACTGCTCATAAATGGTGGATGGTTATTATCACTGATGGCTGTTATCCTGGGCAAAGTCAACATGTATAGTAATAGGTGGCCACACACATGCCTGTGAGCCGCAGCAGTAGAGCTAAGCACCTGTCATGCACAGGTGAGGGAAGAGTGGCGCCTGATGCAAGAGGTCTGTACTGTTCGCGGCAGCCTAAAACAACCCTAAGGCCACTGGGAAATGTCCCAGCGCTCCCAGCGGACCGTTCACCTCCGACAATCTCAGCAGGGCAGCGCGGCACTGGCAACCTTCGCAAAGTATTATGATGTGTACTGCAGTATGTGGGGGGAAAAAGTAGTTCCAGTGCAAGTCCTATACGTTCCCATGTGGCTTTACGGTCCCACATTTGTTAATGTCTGTTCTCTCTCTCTCTCTCGCTCGCTCGCTCTCCTTACCTTCACATCTTTTATGGCTTTGCTGCTCACAAAGCAATTAGCTCTGCTAAAGTAGACCAGTTACAAAATATAGGAGCTCGCAGTCAAAATTATAGGATGTAGAGTGTGTTCCAAATAACTGCCAGCAGCTCAGTGAACAACCATCAGTCTTTATGTGTGCGCATGACTCCCGATGATTTGCTTTAGTACACTCTTTATCTCATGTTGTTGCCTTCTGCTTACTGCACATCACAAATTTAATGATTCGGCAACTGTACTCTATCTGACCCTCTGTGCATTGCTAGCGATGGGTATAAAATACTCTCACAGTCACCAGTGCATTGCTAAATGTTCACATTAAGTGTCAGCTGCGATATAAAGACTAAAAGGCTGTGTATTAAAGAAATGTGCGATGTGATGTTTTGGTTTCGGTGTGACTGAAATTCAGTTCGCTCCGCCTTTATGGTTGCAGTTATGTGGAGTTATGTGTCTGAATATTTCTGGTATGCAGAAATTACAAAACTGTATGTAGCAATTAAAACTGAAACTTATCGTTCTCACGTACAGAACAGTCAGTTCTGTCTTTGTCCTTATTTTTAGATGACATATCGTCGTTACAATGTTTTTAGTCACTGCGTGTGAACACAGAGTAACTAAGAGGATATTTTCCAGTTTCTACTTGACTGGAATGTACTACTTTATCAAAAACAGAAAATAGTCAAAATGTTCCAAGACTGTCAAAGATTATTATTATTTTTTTCAGAATTTGGTGACGCTGATAGCTTCAGTACCACAAATGCTTCATCATCATCGTCAGATATGTGTCAATGAAACCAGTTAGGTTCGGTGGTCAGATACGTGTCAATGAAACCAGTTAGGTTCGGTGCTGCTCTCATGATAAAACAACAGTAAAGGTAAACTTGACTCCAGACAAACAGGTAAACATCATATGTTTGCAGTTTTCATAAAAACAAAACAAATCTTTTTTTTTTGTTTTGTTTTGTTTTTGGACAAAATAATAACGGCCTGATCCCTGTCAGTAGAGCTTTACCTAAATTCCATGGGGATCAACAAACATTACTGTAAGTAGACCGTATTTTCACTTTAATGTAACAGGAATGCAAAACGGCTGAGTAAACAATCTGCAATGCTTGGCGTGTCAGAAAATCTGTCCAGAGAGGGGGTGTGCGAATTCCCCAGAGATTATCAGACCACTGCAGGACCAGAGATGACACTGAGCTGGCTAAGCGAAGGAGGAGGCTATTTTCTCGGAGTGACAAATATCTGGAGGAGTACAAACAGAAGGCAGAACTCCTGTTGGGAGAATGCCTAAGCTTTGTCTTTGTCACGCTGTGTGACACGGACTCACAACACCACTCCCTGAGGTGTGTGTGTTTGGGTTATGCGTATGAGTGCACAAACTGTGTGCGTGGGCACACACACACACACACAGAAATGGTAGACAAAAATCTCACATCTCCACCTCGTCTCTATCTCGGCTCCTGTGCTTTAGGAATCACCGCTTCTGGCTGAATATTTGAACGAAACCAGAAGCCAAAACTACAGCAGCTTTGGAGAAAGCATGAATTGCAGTAGTGTGGGGAGGGGGGGGGTGAGGATAACCTGTTCTCATATAGGGGCTGCTGATAAATCAGCCAAGGTAGTACCATCTCTGGTTGAGCCCTGGGTGAGCCAAGGACAGATACAAGCAGGTCTTTCATGGCAGAAGCTGGTGCGAGGAACAACTTGGAGTGAGGTGAGAGAGCACGAGCTCCACAGCGCTGCTTCGAGCCAGCAAGATTAATGTAGGCTCTCTGGAGCAAAGGCAACATCCAGAGCCTTAATAAGGTACAAACAATCGGTTCCACTCCACTGGCTTCCTAGGGAAAACTATTGTTGTGCCACATTGTTTCTTGGTGAGGTTCCTCGGAGACGTGGGGCGACTGCAGCAAGTGACTGTCTCCATTACAGCCCAGGGAGGGCTCACTGCAAACCCGTGTTTGTTGGTGTCAGGCCTGCCTTGCACACACCCCTACCTCACCTCTCCCCCCCCCCCTGTAAATCTAGGAAATCTTGTCAGCTCACTCACCTCAACACCTTGCACTTTCAACTTCATGTGATCCTCCCGTGTGGTCTTCCCATCTTTCCTCTTCTTCCAGCAGTAGCCATCCTTCCTGTACTTCACCTTCTTCCTATTGTACAATATCATCGACCCATTCTGCGGCCTGCATCCGGGGAGAGAGAAAACAACATGGTGGAGATGAGACAAATTTTTAAGCAAAGCTGCAGCACAGCAGAGAAACTCACTTTTGATGATGTACCAAAAAAAAAACAAAAAAAAAAAACAAGTCGAGACTGTGTCAGGCATGAAATACACCGAGGGATACACAGATACCGATCGCTCGTTCTTCATTCACATACTCATACCTAAAAATTTGCCAATCCAGCAACCAGAAACTCAGCCAGTACGGTGTGTTTTCCTACAACAGTCCAGAGTCTCATTGCCCTCAGGGGTAGTTTTTATAAATTGGTCAAAAAAGGGCAGTAGTTTGGAGGTATTTAATGAAAGTCCTGTTGGCGCTTCATAGCACTGATTACTCCAATGTCTCTTCTTGAATAGATAGGAGTTTATACCTCAATGAGTCACTTTTTTTGTTCAATTGATACATGGAGAGAGTGTTACTCACTTTAAATGAAAAGCAGTGATTGATTATATATAGCATTCAACTGAAATATGCTATTAGCACAAAGCCGAATGTGATTTCTTCAGTTTTATATATAAATTGTGTCTAGTGAATATGATGTCAGTTTTACATAGATTGTTTTTTTCATTTAGCTCGAAACATCCTATGTTAATATGAATAAAATGTAACTAGCTGTGAACATTTTATTGCTTCGGGCCTCACTGTGGTTCAGGTTGTGCTCAACGAATGCCAAAAAAACTCCCACTCCTGTGAGTTTATTTAAAAAAAAAAAACTAAAATACACCAAAGACATTTTTTCCGTGTTTAGATGCACAGTTGACAGTGACTGAAGTACCTTCTGCTAACATTTCTCCCAGTGAAAAGTGTGTGTTATGGACAAGCGGCTAAAGTGATGCTACATCTGATGAAGTAAACTACATGAAGACCAATTTGTAAAGCAGCCAGTGTGCTGTGAAGGTGTGGAAGACGGGTTGGTTGTTTTTTTTCCCTCCTTGCCTCTCATTCATCCAGCTTAAATGAGTAGTGGTGTTAGAAATCCCTACGGGGGTTGATAGGATCCTCCCTCACACTCCATTCATAATTCATTCTTTCTTCACCAGACCACAGCCTGCAGGCTCATAATGATATAATGTAACTATTTGATGATAATCTGCCTTTCCACTTCGATTTGTATCCAAGGCATTTGGCGCTCAAAGTAAAATATTAACAGAAAGCCCAGCATGAAACATTTACGACTTACTCGACAATTAGCGAGCGGTTGAACGACCTCCGTGTTTGTCTATTTGTTTTGTGGTGTGGCTAATCTCGTACAGACGCCACACTTGTGTCGGTTTTTGGCTCACCGGAACTGTGCCTCTGTGTTTGTGCAGGATATGACACGGCGTAACGCTAACCTTACGACACATTTTCGTCTTTGAATGTGAGGGTTTCCATAATCCACTCTGTGCGCTGTTCTTTATGTAAAGATGACAGGAAGTCAGCATAATACGAAGATGCCAACAGTCCATGCAACACAAGTAATACTTGGAGCAAACACACACACACAGACACACAGCTGTTATGATTTGGAGCTCTTCCAAATAAGAACAAGTTTGCTCGGGTGTTCGGTGCCTCACAGTGAATGAGCAGAAAAGCCACCTGCCCAAGCTGTTACTGGAGGAGGCTGTGTTACTGTTCAGGGCGGCTTAACCATCCAGTCAGTGGGTGAATCTTGTTAGCCTTGTACCCACTGCTCACATACGTGGACGAACACTCCACAAAAAAAAGAGGCTACAGCAGCATGAATCAGGAAAATAAATACATTTCTGGTGTAAAATATGAACAAACGGACGGAACTGCCGGAACATCTCTTTGGTACAAAGGCTGTTAACTGTTCTGTTAACTTGTTGTTTAATGTAGAGTGAGTCCAATGTTGGACAAGGAACACTAGTTCCTTGCAGCCTTCTTTGTTCTTACTTGACAAGTACTAGAGCTGTGGTGGCAGACAGTAATGGAGGACCAGAGGACACGTTAGTCGAAGGGTTGGTGGAAAGTGCAGCAGAAGAAGTGGAGGAAGAGTTGGTCCTGTGTTACAAAATGATTCATTTATGAAGCTGCATGCATGATTTTGCCAGACATCCTTCGGGGGTCCTGGTCGTGTTTATCTTTGTATCACTCATCAATCATTTCCTTGGCTGGATCTCAGGGGCCGGTGATGAGGGAGGAGAAGGAGGGGCCGGGGTCCCTTCAGTCCCCCTCTCTTTGGCCCTTGACAGCACCTTCTAATGGGAGACGCCACTCACACACTGATGTGCTCAATCTTTGCTGATCTCTCTCCGTCCCTCTACTCCCCCCTTCCTCTCTCTCCACACCCATCTCCTTCTGCCGTCAGTCAACTGGAGCTGTGCACCAGGGAACGTCTCTGTCTCCTCCTTTATCTTCTTCTTTTCTCTGCCTCTTGTTTCATCTGTCTCCAGATCCCTCACCCCTACTCTCCGAGACCTCCATCTCTCTGTCTGTCTCCTCCTCGCTCGCTGCCCTCTGTTGCTCTGCAGCCGGCATAGGTTGCAGAAAACTATTAAGCAGACATTTTTTATTGGTCCGTTTTAGGGGAGTAAGAAAATACAGAAAATACAAAGAAATATCACAATATTTTATTTCGCAATACCGTATCTACATTCTAGAGCACTGTATCCATTTTGTTACTAACAACTGACATGCAAATATTCACGGCGTTGGTTTATTTTATTTGTTCCAATTTTAGTAACTTCATGTTGAGGTCGAACAACAATGTGTGTTGACTATGCCGACAGTTTTCCTACAGTTAAAAAATCTCAAAA